CCCCCCCCCCCCCCAGTATGCCTCCTTACCGAAGGCCTGCAGCTTCCCCGAGTGGAAGTCATTGAGCAGGTTCAGGAGGCCGCCCTCCATCTCGTACACGTCCGAGACATCCGTCAGAAAGGTGTGCTGCAGCGGGGGCCCCAGTGCCACCCCTGCGCCGCCCCCCGGCTGTGGGGCACGAGGCTTCTCCTTGTTCATCCTGTGCAACACCCCCGCCCTGAGCTTAGCTTTTCCAGGCCTAGACCCAGCCTCCTAGCGGGGTCCTAGGAGCTCTCAGCTCTTCCCTCCCAGGAGCTCAGGCCAGTTTGCCAATGTACATCCCACCTTTCCAGCCACACAGGCCCACACGGCTGAGCCTGGACATGGCTGTGCATGCCGGGGCAATACACTGGCCTCACCTTGGTGGCCATATCTCCCTCTCGTGGCCACTGCAACTACCACCTCCTTGCACATGGAGCAAGGGGCTGCTGTAGCACAAGCAGGCCCACGGGGCAACAGGCCCCAGGTTTGATTGCTGCAGGCACAGCCCAGGCCCACGGACTGGGCGCCAGCGGCACAGTCCCCAACACTGACCTCTTGAACTTGGCCCTCTGCTTCGGCGAGGGCAGGTGAGGCAGCCCCAAGGAGAAGGTGGCGCTTTTGCTGGTGGGGACAGGCAGCTTGCGCAAGCCGCCGGCAGGGGCCGGCTGGGCCAGGCAAGCCTTGGGGCTCCTCTTCTTCTTCTTGTCCTCCATCCCGAAAGCCCGACTGCCAGGCCGAGGCTGGGCTGAGGATCGGTGACGCCCGGCGCTGAGGCAGAGACACACGGGTCACACGGGAAGCAGACCCTGGTCTTCAGCAAAGCTTCCTCTCCAGCCACGACGTCAGGGTAGGGGCAGGCAGACACCGGGACTGGTTTTTACCTTGGGGCCGGGGGCCACTAGACGCTACGGTGCCAGCTCTGCGTCCCTTGGCAAGACGTGCAGTCTGGGCACTTTCCCTGCCCTGATCTCTGCCCAGGTGAGGACACGAGCCAGTTACTTGGGGTTTTCCTCCCTGACACCTTGTGCAGCACAGTGAGCACTTGGGAAAAGAAAATCCCATCTCCGAAGAGCTGGATCCCGAGGCCCGAGCTGCACAGCACGGCTCCCCACGGCACAGCTCCCGTTCAGGAGCTGGCCCCGCACTTGCTGCGGGCTGGAGACGTGGCCCACGAGAACGAAGCCACAAGATCAGGCTGGAAGGAGATGCAGCCGGCACAGGGAGGATGGGCACCGCGGGAGCAGACGGGCTCTTGGGTTTGTTAACCCCCGGAAGGGATTTTGCACCTGCAGGGCAGGGTGTTTCTCATCTAGGACCCTTCGCACCGCAGCCCCTTTCCTACCCCCACCAGCTGCCTCCAGTGGAGCAGGGGCATCCCTTGGGGCAGAGCAGGGGCAGGGCAAAAGTCCCCCCCAGCAGCCCTCGAGCCTGTGCTGGGGTATCGCACCCAGCTCAGTGTCCGGGACCCGTTTAGCGCTCGGTCCAGCCAGGGCTAGCGAGTGCCAGCCGCCAGGTCTCGGGTCGAGGCGCCCGGCGCTGCAGCCCATCGCTGGCTGCGTGGCACTCGCGCAGCCCCCGGCCCCCGGGCCAGGATCCTGCCTCTGCAGACTCCCGCGCCGCCCAGCCCCGCTTGCTAAGAGTTGGGGCAGGGTCTCCGGGTTCGCCCCCAACTGGGCCGCGCCCAGGCCCACCGAGCAGGGTCCAGCAAGGCCAGCCCTGCATGACCCGCGTCCCCGGGTCCCTTGAACGCCGCCCGCTTCTCCTGCCCCCGGGAAGGGCCCGGGAGCCCCGCGGCGCAGCCCAGGCGGCGGGTCGACATTAACCCGCTTAAAAAGCCAC